GAAAGCCTGGGTGCAGGCTGGCAGCCCTGGGAGCTCCGGCTGCAGGTCCCAGCCAGAACCCTGCAGGTCCTCATGGGGTGGGTTTCTGCGTTTTTAGTATTTCTTGCTATTCATGCACTTCACAGCAAGTTTCCTTCGCGTCTCAGCAATCCCCATTTGTGCTTTGGTGCAGAGGAAAGGCCCCATCCACTGCTCTGACCCAGGGGTGCCCAGGCCCCCCACTGGGACCCCAGCAGGGCAGCTCCCGTGCAGGGCCCCGACCGTGCCCGAGCAGAGGCAGGGGGAAGGATGGCGGCTGGATCCAGCGGGGTCCGGTGCCCCGGCAATGCAGGGGAGACCTGCCACGCAGCTGTGAGCCTGAGACAGATGGAAGCTGACAGGCTTTTTCCGAACTGAAATATTTATGGGGCGAGAGCCACGTGGCTGGTCCCAGTGGCCCCAGGTCTGGCTCCCTGGATCTGCTGCAGCGGTTCCTGGGCAGGGACAGATCCAGGCCACTGAGAGCAGCAAGGGGGCCAGGGAGGAGCTCAGCCAAAGGGGAAACCTCCCAGCTCCAGCATGAGAGGGCTGCAGAGCTCCTGTTCTACCCCCAAATGCTTTCCCAAAAGCTGCATGATCCCACCAGGGTCAGCACATCGGTGCCGCAGAGGGGTGAGGGGGGGCACCCCCAGAGCCACAGCTCTGGGCACTGCGCTCCTGCTGCCGGACCATCCCCGGGGACTGACAGCCTGCATCAGCATCACCCAAAAGGCTGGGATTTGGGATTTTTCTTTTTTTTTTTTTACTGCAGTTTTTTCCCCTCCTCTCTCTCTCTCTCTCTCCTTCTGGCCTATTTTTGTCTTTTGCAGGGGCTCAGGAGTTTTCCTGAAACAGCTTTTCCGAAGGAGGCTACTCTCAGATGGACGGTCGGTGGGAAAGTCTTCGCTTCCCCCCCTCCATCGCTCCTCCTACACGCCCCGCACTGCTGCTGCTGCTCGGAGCTGCAGCCGCTTTTTGGAGCATGCAGAGGAATACAGTACCCGAGGGGGGATAGAGGATTAAAAATAGCCCCTTGCAGCCTACTGGGGCCCTGCTTCTCCCTGAGGGAGCTATGGCCAAATGGGTTAGGTAGGACCTACTTTGATCCCCCTGCGCTCAGTGGAGACCTTTTTCCCATGACCCTGTTTGAAGATGCTGCCTCCCCGTGAAGAAGAAGAGGGACGACTCCGTGGATCAACGGGGTGGGCTGCCACCGAACCCCTTCGCCGCCTCTGGGGTGGTAGCTGGCACATGAGGGAAGGACAAACATCCTGTGCTGCTGAATTACTGATGGGGACCCCCCCAGCCCCAGCAGGGGCATGGGGGGGCAGGCGGGCAGCAGAACTGGGCATGGACCATGGGCAGATTTGCCTGGCACGCGGCGGGGCGGAGTGCGGTGCGCTTACCGATGTTGGGGTGCTTCAGGAGGCGGCAGATCCGGGCTTCTCGTTCCAGCTTCTGGTGATCTGAAAGAGGCAACAGCCCTAAATTAGGGTCTGGGGAAAGGGAATAAACCGCTCTCAGCCCCTGCCACGCTCTCTCGGAGGAGCTGCCAGCATGGGAAACCTGGGGGTGATGAAGCCTTTTTTTTTTGCTAAAGAATAACAGTTGTGGGGACACTCTCAGCATTGGGGTCTGATGGACCGTGTCCCAACAGGGATGCAGCCCCCAGCCACCCCCCCAGGCACTGATCCCCTGGGCAGTCCTGGGCTGAACAAGTCCCCATCACCTCCCAGATATCCCGGAGCTGCCTTGGGTTATCACTGCCAGCAGCACCCGCTCGGTTTTCTCTTATTCAGCCAAGCCGAGGCAATCAGTGAGGACATTTCTGGCCCCGAACAGTAGAATCTGAACAATCCAAGATGGAGCCGACCGGTGGGAGACGCCAGGTTTGGTTATCCGCTCTGCTCCCCCTCTCCATCCCCAGCTGTTTCACATCAGGTCTTTACTCTCCCACACTGCAAAACCCAGGCTCTGAAAATTTGCTTTTCTCTGGTGCCTGGCTCCAAACAGGCAGCACAGGTCCCTGTCCCTGGCTTTTGCCAGGCTCAGGGATGTGATACCATATAGCTCTGTGTAAAGCAAGTTGAGCTGAGCCAAAAAAGCCTCCATCCTGGGGCAGCCCAGAATGAATTCTCAATTAGTTTTGTTTCTTTTTCCCTGCCTCTGCACTTTTCTGCCTCCTTATACCTGACCCAGCCCCGCCGTGCGGAGGTGCCTTGTCTGGAGGCATTCCGTGCTAGCCGGAGCCCAGCAGCCGGGAGAAGAGAGGATATAATTAGGGCTGCTCGTCTCTCGGTGCTATCGCTGCTACCTTGCAGGTTCACACCCCAGAGTCTCACTCCGCACTGAAGCAAACCTGGGTGTCTCCGACCGCTGAGACGTGACAGCGACGCAGCCCCTTCCCCGTGGGGGCTGGAGCCTCCCCCAGGGTTCAGTGTCCCTCGTCCAGCGACTGCAGGGCTCGGCGTGGGCGAGTTACCTCGGGGCTTGGGGTGGGTTGTGCAGCCTGTGCTGGGATCTGCAAGCCAAAGGCTGGGAGAGCCTCGGTGGCCTCATTCAGCTCCCCATGGTGTTCCCCCTGATGGGGACAGCCTCCCCAGGGCGGTACGGGGCGAAAGGGAGAGATCGGGGTTAAGGCTGTTGCTTTTTTCAACCAAAATCCATTGTGGGGTGGAGGACAGGGACGGGGTGGAGGCATAGTGTGACCAGTGGGGAAAACACTCACCGGGGAACAGGGAACATGCTTTCTTCTCCCTTTTCTGTTCCTGCCTGACAGCGATCTTAGGTGGGTCACTGATTGTCACTCTCTGCCTCAGTTTCCCCACCTGCAGCATGGAGGCTGGGGTCAAACAGCCCATGGGGAAGCCCAGCATTGCTGGTGTCCAGTAAAGTTCCTTTCCTTGCTTAGAAGAGGCTGGAGATCACAGGAAAGGGAGGGGAATATGACCCCAAGTATAGAGCAGGTCCCGGCACCGCTCTGTGTGTCTGCACGCCGCTGCCAGCCGAGCCTTTGGCTGCACAGGGGCGAGCGTGGCCACTGGCGGGGTGCAGGAGGGTGCCCCGTCCCTCCCCACCACGGAGCTGCCCGGCTCAGCTCTGGCTCCCCAGCTGAGCGGTGGGGGCAGCCAGCACCCGCCGCCCC